TTTTTTTTTTTTTTTAGGTTATAGGTTTGATGGGCAAATTTTATGATCCACTCTGTCGGTGAAATAAAGCCTTGTCTTTTTCACTATCCTGTTTTGATGTGAGTGGAATGGATTTTAATATCAAATTCCTGCAATTTCAGAATCTAATTCAGGACGAACATGGAAAAGTTATTTACATTATTTAGGATTCTTATGTAATTATTTATTATTATTCTAGTGTAATTTTTATGTTGTTATTAGTTTTCTAGTTTGATTATGGTTGGATGTTGAATTATTTTATTTTATTTTATTGAGTCTTAGTATAGTTAGATTAAGAAATCTATTTCTTAGTGAGTTAGAGTGTTTTATACACACACTGATGGACATACATACTTGTAGGCTATAGCTTCTTTCATTATTGTAAGTCAATAATATTCAGAAATTTCCAGCAAGGGTTTTATGTTGAGATTGTGTGATGCAATCAACCTTAGTTGTGACTCCTAAGGATTTTCTGTTGTTTTTATGTGTGGTGACTGCAGAAATTTAGGTGGCACTTCTAGTATTAGTCCATCTTTTCCTCTCTATTATCCTTTTTTTCTACCCTTTCACTCCTAATTCAGCCCCTGATCTCTTGTTTTACTGTTTATAGTCCTAATTTAGCCTAACCAAACTGCCTTCTATTTTCATTGGCATCAATGTTTTGTATGAAATAAACAATGTTGGGCAGTACCATGAAACAGATCAGTAGTCGTGTGATTTTCTGGGTTTAGTGTTGACTGAGATTTGGTGTGACTTATTTGTGATAAGTAGTCATGTGATCAGTTGGCATACAAGGTAGTTATATATGAGATTCATGATGATTGATATTCATTCTATCAGTTTGTTTGTGTGTTTTTTGTATTAGAATGCATCAGGTGGAGATTTGTATTTTAATTTGTAGTCTAACCTGAACGATTGGACTTTATATGTCTGTTAACATATTTCTTTATGTTGAATTTGAAATTTGAAAATGAAAAAAGGAAATGAAAGAAATCCTTCTGTCCTAGAAATTTCCATGCTTGGTCTTTGAAAGAATGTCATGTCTTGTTGCAGAATTTTTCTTAACATCTTCACAATTCAACGATGCCAAAGGCTACAAGTGCGAAGAAGTCCAGGGCATCTCCTTACCCTCGTGGCACCAAGAAAATTGTTCAAGGCAAGTGCAAAATGGTTGTGGACAAAAACGATGATGTACAGGATTGGGAAGAAACTAGATGTCCAATCTGCATGGAACATCCTCACAGTGCTGTATTACTACGATGCTCGTCCTATGCAAAAGGTTGCCGACCATATGTTTGCAACACAAGTAATCGTCAATCAAATTGTCTCATTCAATTTCAGAAGTCTTCTGCAGATTCTTCATCCCATTCATTGCCAGAAGATGTCCATCCAATAAAAGGGCAGCAGCAACCAAAGCTCTCATGCCCTCTTTGTCGCGGACAGGTCAGTGGTTGGACTGTGGTAGAGCCTGCAAGGCGGTTCATGAATTCAAAACCAAGGAGCTGCCCATTTGAGGAATGTGATTATAGTGGAACTTATTCAGAACTTAGAAATCATATCAGGGGACATCATCCCATGACAAAGCCATCAGATGTAAACCCAGCTCGTCAGCATGAGTGGCAAAGGTTGGAGCGCGAGACTGAGTTGAAGGATATGATTTCTGTGATGCTATCTGAGCTTGGAGACAATGCTACTCCAGCACTCTATGATTACTTGTTGTCTGAATTTCTAATGCTTGCAACTGGATCAAATTAGATTACCAGGAAAAAGCATTTTCATTTATATTTCTAGCTCAATGGGTCTGTTGGGGGCGGAAAGGAAGTAGTTGATGATGAGAAAGTAATTTTAATTTTGTTACATCTATTTGTCAGCCTTTTCTCTCATGATGGGATGATAAAAAGAAGCTGAACCTTAGCCTGAATACAATTGAACTTGCTTGTGAAATACATTTGATATATTTCTCTTCAACAATGTATATCACGGTCTATTTTCAGGTTAGTACTTGCATCCAACAACCAGACACATACTAGCCATCTTTGTTGATCCAGTTAAAGAGAAGCTAACATCCCAATACTGACGCACTATATCTCCTCTTCCTCTTTGGAACATACTCAATAAATTCCATCCCTGTCAAATAGAAAGAAAAATTGAAAATGACATGTATGCAATTGGATTCTAACTTTTTAGGTGATTTTTTTTTTTTTTTTGGTTTAAAAGGTAAAAAAAAAAAGGTGCAATTATATTATTTTTATTTAACTAAAATCATAAATAACTCTATTTTAAAATTATATCATTCTTGTTGGTGTCACAGAAATATTTTTTTAAAATAAAATTAAGATTAATTTTTCATTTCTTAATATATATTAGTTGTAAAAAGTGTTTTAAAAACCTTAAATTAAGTACTGTTCATATTGTCCGGATTGAGAGAGATATTATTGTTGGCCAAAGAAAAGGGGAAAGACATTTTTGTTTTAAATAAGTTTTTTTTTTAAGAAAAATGAAAAAACAAAGGAACGGATGAAGCGGGAGTTTTGACGACACCTATAAATATTCAAGAAACCAAAAGCTCAATCTTTTCCTGGCTCAACCATGGCTTCTTCGTACGCCGCGGCTCTCACATACTTCAAAGAAGGAACCGAGGTGGAGATCACCAGCGCCAACCACTGCGACCGCGGAGCTCTATTTCCGGCGATAATCATCGGCCCGAAGCCTCAGACAAAGTAATTCGTAGTGGAGTACAAAACCCTAAAGGACATGCGCGATTGGCTGGTGCCCTTGAAGGAGGCCGTCAGTTGGGCGCTGGTAAGGCCCCGGCAGCTGGAAGAGACCGATCATGGTTTCGAATTCGGCGAAGCCGTGGATGTGTTCTTGGACGGTGGGTGGTGGGAAGGAGCGATTACTGAGGTGCTGGAGAATTCCATGTATATGGTGTTTTTCAGGTTTTCGAGACAACAAGAACGAACTCGCAAGTCCAGGATGAGGGTTCATCGTGAGTGGTTTAATGGCATTTGGAAGCCGCCTCTTGAAGAAGTAAAATCTTTTTCTTGGTTTACTCCATTTCATTTAGCATTTTATGCAATTCTGCTTGAGTTGAGTATTGTTGAATCATATGAAATGAGATGAACAGAAATTTGTTTAAGTTGAGCATTGCTGTTAGCTTTGGAGGAAAAGTCAGCTATTATGAGTTGAAAAGGAATGGTATGGGTATTAATTGGTGGTGGAATTCTGTTTTATGAGATTAAGTTTCAATAGGGGGTCTCATTTGATCGATGAGATTAACAGACTCGAAAATTTGAAGAAACTACTAGAACTAGCTCAAGAAGTTAACTTTGTAACCTGATAAATTGCAATTTTGAATGATGAATGTTCTTCCTTGAAAGCTAATGTATACTACTTGTTGATCTTGTTCCTGCTGATATGTCCTTTTGGGTGGAGAGGTATGTGCAACATTATTACATTCAAGTCTTAATTTTTTCTTTTGTTTATGCATTTATATTGGTTCCTATTGATTCTTTCATTTGCATCTCATCTATGAAAACTTGAAATGCAGGAAGTTTCTTCGAGCAAAATAGATCCAAGTCCAACAGAGGAGTTTGGTAAGGGGATGCATGTGGAGATTAGAATTAATGAGGATGGATTTCAGGGCTCTTGGTTTGCAGCAACTATTGTCAAAGCAACAAGAGATGACAAGTTTCTAGTTGAGTATCAAAGCTTGAGAACGGAGAATGATTCAGGATTCTTGAAAGAAGAAGTTGATACGCAATACATGAGGCCTATGCCTCCTGCACTTACAGTTGTTGATGGTTTTACTCAGAACGAAGAAGTTGATGCTTTATATAATGATGGGTGGTGGGAGGGGGTGATTACCAAAATTCTTCATGGATCAAGGTGTAGAGTTTATTTCAAGCTCACAGATGATGAAATGGTGTTTCATCAGTCTAAGTTAAGACCTCATCAGAATTGGATTGATGGAGAATGGATTATCCCATCTCGGGTATGACTTTATGATGCATTTTTACAGCTGAAGATGGTACTGAAATTATTTTTACATGCTCTCTTGTTCACAAGTTCAAGTTAAATAATTTTTGGTTCCATCTCCTTGACGATGGAACATCGACTCTAGTGTTCAATATATAGAAGCAACTTGAATGTGCAATATTGTACTTCTTCCTTGTCATTATTTCCCTTATTTGCAAATGTAAATGATATGCCTGTTTCAATGTAGCATATAATCTCTGCAATTTTTGTTCGTTCATTTTAAGACCAACTTGATTATCTAGAAGAATTGTACTCAGAAAGAAAATTGTCATTATAATTGTCTTAAAGTGGCAGAGATAATTTAGAACATAATTGTCAATCTTGTTAGTTGTTTCTGTACTGGGGACGGCCGCTGAGCTGGTTTGGGTCGGTACCTATTTTACAAGATCGAGGCATGTAATTGGCTCCTGTTATATATGGTCTTGAGTTGATCCTAGCCGGATAAGACGACTCCAGGTTGTATGGTTGACTTGACTAAGCCCTACTTATTATATTTTAAGAAGACTATCAAGAAAAGTGCTGGGCTTCAACTAAAGGTTTATATGGTAGCCAAGTAAAACTAGGCCTCCTGAAGCCGGACTGATTCAGCTTATAGATGTGGCGATGGTCTGGAACTGATCCTGGTTTTGGGTTTGATTGTGTAGATCCCAGTTGATCCGACCCAATCCGACGGCTACCTTTATCAGAGCGTCTATAATGACTTTGATTTTGAGAACATGTAATTGAAAGCAATCTGGAAGAAAAAACACCACAAACAACATAATTGACTAAAAACCATTGACATTCTAGAAGAGGTATAAAAATATCACTATCTATTATTTGTCCTAGGCTTTTACAGCAGTTAACATGTGGGTAATTTTATACTTGGATTTCATAGTCTATCTATTATAAATCGATTGATAAGATGTATCTTAAGTTGGAATTTGAATTCTCATACTTCTAAATTATAAACTTATTAAAGAAAAGAAAAAAAAAAAAACCCGAGGGTAATCTTGACTTGGGGTATTTGGATTATTTTGTTGCGTAACGAGGAATTTCGGCACAATCTACAACTATCAGTTTAGAGATGTGATGCTTTAACAGTGCCTCAAGAGAACATGTTTTTCTTTGGATTCCTAACCCCATTTTAGTGGTTTGTTGGGGAAGTTTCAAAATAGGATTCAGCTTCATTTGTGTATCGAATCTCCAGAGTTTTATAATTCAAATTTCACGTTCAAGATGCGGTGCGTTTGTTTTTGACTTTTTGTTTAGAAAAATGTGAAAAAAATTATTATGAGTACGTTTCATCTCCTGTGCAGAAAATTCATTGAAGAGATTTTTTTAATTTTTATGTGGTAAAAATGAATTGGTTATTAGTCTACCCGGTGAATCGTGCATATGTTAAGGGCGAAATTCTAATGTTGAGACCCCAAACTTACCTTAGATTTTCAATTAAGCTTCTAAATTTTTATTAAAGTAAATAAGTCCTTAAATTTTGCCATTTGAGCAATTTAACCTCTCTTCTTTATGATGAACTTAACATCCTTTGTACATCGCTTGTGTGAACAAAATTATAATATGTCATTGCCTACAAGATAGATATTAATCTTATTCATATAATTAAGGCACAAATAAGTATTACATATATTATAAAGAAAATAGTTAAATTGTTTAAATTGACAAGTTCAAGAGTTTGTTTATTTCAATAAAAATCTAAAAACTCTATTAAGAATATGAGGTGAGTTTGCAGAACTTAGTGTAAGGTTTTACCTAAGCAAATTTAAATGTCTAGGTCTTTGGACATTTTAGCCTATGAAGCATTTTCTTATTTTTTTTAAAGGAAAGGGGTAGCAATGGCCAATAAGAAAAGGGATTCTTTACCCTACTTGAAGCCTTATATGCAATAAGCTATTCTTTTTTTTTTTTTTTAACATTTAATGATGAGTTATATAAAAAGAAATAACTCTCTTATTTTCTTAAAACTCTCCCCACCTAACTCACAATTTGAATTTAAGATTTTGAAGTTGAAATTTTAAGCCCTTAATTATTTGAACCATCCTTTTAGAGGTGTATTAAAAGCTAATGCTACAGTGTGGATTACTTGTTTCACTTAATTTCGAAAAAAAAAAGGACAATGATTCGCTTACACTTGATCGAACCACACTTCGTTACACATATTTTTTTTTTTTTCGTTTGCTCCCACACTCCGTTAGTCTCCATCCTCACTAGATCCATCTTTCTCCTTACCTCCATTCTCATCCTAATCATTTGTAGGACAATTGCCAGCCATCCCAAACCAAACACCCAAACCCCCCTTCTAACCAAGGAAATTATCAACGTTTTAGTGGAACACTTCCTCTACATTTAAATTGAATAAACCGTCTCCCTAGCTTTCTTTCAACCTGAAACCATGAAAATTCAGTCCACATGAAAAACAACACCACACACAAGCAGACCCATGTTTCCAATTAGAATTTCTCTATCATACCAAAAAAAAATTGAGGATTTGTCACCAATTTCATGCGAGAACCCAAATTTGAGTTCTCCAAGAGGGGTGAATAGAAGGAAGAAGAGGGGAGGAGAGGGAAAGAAGAAGAAAAAGAAAGGAGGAGTAGGGAAAAGAAGGAAAAAGACAATTTTGATCTTGGGTTCTAGCCTGTAATCACCTACTAGGAATTTCGAAGGAGCAAACGAGCTTGAGGAGAAAGAAAAGGAGAGAGAGAACCTAGATCGGGTTCTCACGGTGAGAGTGTAATGTAGACTAATGGAGTGTGGGAGCTAATGGAAAAAAGAATGTGTGTAACGGAGTGTGGTACAGTCGAGTGTAAGCGAATCATTATCCAACAAAAAAATATATTTGTTGTAAAATATAAGTTTTTGAAAGTTCTTAAGATGTTTTTAAAATTTATCTTTAGTTTCTAAAGTTTTGAATGTTGACTGTCTAACTTGTAACCATTTTCTTAAGAAACATGTGGGGTTCAATGTACTCAATATAACATTAGGTTCCAACTTAAAACCAATTAATTATAGAGA